TCTAAGTAAATGTGTTTTCATTAATGTGCCAATAGATATGTCGATCGTGATGTTGTCAGCAGTGTTGAATTGAACTTTTCGTGTCTTCTTGGCTCCAACAACCTTTTTGTGTGGTACAATTTTTCTTTTTTGCAAGAGGAAAAATTTTGTTAGTCAAACTAAATAAAGATAATAAGAAATTCAAATAGTCAAAGAGAAAAAAAAAATCAAGTGGGCCCAAACCTCACCTCAAGCACTTTGGCCACCCGAGGTGGCCGGCCTGGGCTCATCCTCAAGCACTTTGGCTGCCCAAGGGGTTGAGGTTGTTTGAATAACCTTAACCCCTTGGGCAACCAAAGTGCCCAAAGTGGCTAGCTTGGGGTTGACCTCAGGCACTTTGGCTGCTCGATAGGCCGAGGTTATTTGAATAACCTTAGCCCCTTGGGCAGCCAAAGTGCCCGAAGTGGCCAACCTGGGCTTGACCTCAGGCACTTTGGCTGCTTGACAGGCCGAGGTTATTTGAATAACCTCAGCCCCTCGGGCAGCCAAAGTGCCCGAGGTGGCTGGCCCAGGCTCAACCTCAAGCACTTTGGTTGTCCGAGGGGCTAAGGTAATTCAAATAACCTCGGCCCCTCGGGTGACCAAAGTGCTCGAGGTGGCTGGCCCTGAAGAAACAATCAAGAAAGAAGCAAAAATAAAGAAATAGAAGTGAAAGCAATCAAATCAAAACTCACCCTTGGTGGCATCTTTCCCTCCCGATATCTCGATCATGCTAGATTTCTCACACTCTCTCACTCTCAATCTCAACTCGTGTTCATACTGGTGCGCTCCATCTCTTGCACTCTCCCGCACTCAATCTCTCGCACTCGTGCGCTCCACGCTCAATCTCTCAATCTCCTGTGTGCTCAATCACTCGATCTATTGCATGCTCAATCCCTCGATCTCCTTCCCACTCAATCCCTCGATCTCTTGTGCGCTCCACTTATGGTGCAATGGCAGCTACCCTAATCCTAATCATGATAGCTGCCCTAACCCTAACCAATCTTTCATCCCAGCTGTTCATTCCAAATAACCTAAATCTCAACCATCACAATATCTTCGATCTTATTTTATCTTATCATTATTATTATATGTGAATTATGCTTTTTTATTTTGTATATTTTAATGATGATATAACTAGCACCTATCAACATTTCTATTATTAGAGATATGATTTTTTTTTACAAATTATCTACAAAGGATGCATTCTCATCAATATTTTGTACATATTTTGGAATCGTTACAAGAACTTTAAAGAGTATAAATAAGGCACATTAAAATATGTTGTACGATATCCATCTATGAATGGATGAATCCTCATCCAAAAATTTATTTTGTGTTGTATTAGATCCTAAACAATAGGCACGTGCTTTAAATGTCATTGAGTAGTGTTCACAATTATGGATAAAACTTGAGTTGTACTACGAATCAAATCTGTCATTGAAGAATAAGATTTAACAAGATTTATTATCATCTACCACTTAAAATTTGACAACTTGACATATCACGTATACTGACAGTCAAATTATATCTCTTGGTTGACATGCTATAGCAAAATATCATTACTAGTATCATTATTAACTATCAAACTTCACGTCTTGAAAATCCTTCCTTGGATCTATGTGTATAACATGCATCAGATATCATAATAGATAACAGTAATATTAATATTGTCACACTTGCACATGTTAAATTTGCTATAGAATTTAAATTCATTTTGTACATTGTTGATATTTTTCTTATTGCTTTATTTAAATTTCAATTATGTTTCACTATAGATTTTTACAAGTAGCATAAAGAGAGAAAACTCTAAAATCTATTAAAAAGGATGGAGAGGTTTCTTCTTCATTTTCGAGATCACCCACCTCTTTCATTCTCTTAGAATATTATTTCTAAAAGTTTGTTATGTCAACATTTTAATCTTTGTCTTGGCTCTATTTCTTTAAAGGTTGTGATTCACAATAGCACTAGTATAGTTGCATATTCAGAGTTTCTTCTTTTGGGTGTAAGTAAGGGTGGATAACAATAGGATTTACAGAATTCTAAGTTAAAGGAGATTCAAATTTTTGGATCTTCAATCAAAGTGCCCAAATGTGCTCTAGCTAAAGTGAATGTGAAGCAAAAGTTAGTCATTATTCTCTCGTCCTCTTTTAGTTCAAGTGGAGAAATCATGTTAGTGTCAGCGCCGAATTCACTTGACGTGCACTTATTTTTGTATAGGCTTGTGAGCGAATTTCTATCCTTCTACAACAATATTTTCTTCGCGCTACCACCTCTTGTCAACAGCACAGGCTCCAAATGGAAGGGGATAGAAACCAAATAGTATATCCACAATTGGTGCAATATCAAGACCACACATTTTCAACATTTTGAAGGCACAATGTTTACTTGCCAAATAAGAGGAATCTTTGCATAGGATAAATAAACCTCCTTAAATGGAATGATCTAAAAAGAAACAGTTGAATTAGGCTATAAAATCTCAAATTCACAAATACTAAAACTAACAACATATATTTGACTAAGACGTACACCATCTATAAGTATATATTTCTTGGCTCACCTTTTAATAGGACAATGTACTCAACAATTTTGAATGCTAAGAAAGTTTGTAAATTTTGTTCAATTGATAAACTTGCCTATACTAGTACCAAAATTCTATGAGGCTAAAGGTGTTAATTCTATTCTCATTGAGCTTAATAAATGGCACTATACACATGTCCCAGAAATACAAGAACTATGAGAAGCCTTGCTGATACTAGTGTTCAATTTTCTGGAGATCAACACAATATTACTTTTTATCTTGATGTGCTCAAAGTGATGCCCATGCTATTTTAGTGCCTCTCCTTGTCAAAGAATCTAAGATGCACTGGTTCTAGCATAAAAAATATGGAAGTAGAAATGTCGCATACACTTTGAGATTGCTTGCTGATCCTCTATCCCACCTCTTATTGGTTATGGACAAGATCAGGCTTTTTTCACATTAAAGCCTTCCTTTCTTAATAATGTTATGAAAGATCAGTAGTCCAGTGGTGCCTTGGTTCGAGCTATGCAAAAGAATATTTGTGATAGTTACTCATTTTATACCCTAGATAGCAATTGAAAGTTCGTGGCATTTGGTGCGGTGACAACTGGGACGCTTCCAGACAGAACAGAAAGTGGTAGTTCTGCACCATCTAGCAATAATCAAGAGGCACGAGAGATTTAGTTTTCCTGTGGCAGATCAATGCGGGGGAACTGTAATCACCCCTTTGGCGCTTGTCAAAAGCCTCGACCACGCTCTGACAGTGAGGGTGGCGTCCTCCTTCGCATAAACCTTTCATGTAGACACCATGGAAGTCTGGCTAGTAAATATCCTTGATGCGTCTCAAGAATCGGGGTGATTTTTGGGTGCTAAAATCGGGAGGAGTATCAAGCTCGGGCAGGACGGCAGTCTCTCCGAGAAAAAGCGGGCTTGTTTGATTCCCCCAAACCCACCAGGCACATGGAGAACTTCGTCCACTTGAGCTGCCTGAGGATGGAATTGCCTGTTCGTGACAGGAATGGATGGTGAATGTGTGGCGTCGATGCTCCAAGCACAGCCCTGAACCTGGAAAGATCACACCGAAAGCTTACAAAGTCTACTTCTCTGGAAGTTCATACCTCTCAACCTTGGTCCCTGAAAACGTATCCCGCCGCCAGGGCGCCAAACACAAGGTCAGCGTCGAGAAAGCTACACTGCGAGGAGGAGGAGGAGCGCCTGCGATCGATCATGTCTTGTCAATGGAATCAGACGAGACAAGAGAATCAGCTGCCAGGGCTGGAGCCGCCGCTGCGCCGATAGGCCAGGAAATGGATTATCACAGCCGCCGCAGTCTCCAGCTTGCCCACGTCAATCTGCGCAACTCCAGCGTCGCGATGCCAGAGCATCCGCATTGATGATCGACGATGATTCAGTATTTGGTATTTACAAATATCGGGAAGAGAATCGAACCCGAAACGTTTGTTTTGGGAGACCGATGTCCTAAATGACTGGTCTAAGCTGTTTTTGTGAGCCGGCGAACCAGAATAATGGCTCCTTATTTAGCAAAATTTTTGCATAAAAGTCCTTGTTGAGTGGACCCTTCGGCATCGAACCCGGGTCTTCTACAACGGTTTACCTCTACACTTACCTGATAGCCATCATCTCGGCAACCGGGTTCCCGTAATAAAAAAATCATACCATGTACTTGAACCATATGACAGGGGTCTTTGCGAAATCCATGGCGTTTTTGTTAGATCGCCCACCAGACGAGATTATTCCCCGCATTCGTGCTGCTCGGCGTTTCGTCCTTGGCAAAGCCCCCTCTTGGGTTCTGAATCGATCATCGTGGTAATGGATCGTCAAGAGTTATGGCCTGGGTTGCAATAGAAACTCGCAGAGCAATCTCCACAGCCGCAGGAGCTTTGCGATCTTCTGCTGGTGTGAATCTCATCAGTCCCAAAACTCCACGTTTCGGCAATCCAACGAAACCTGTAGCGTGTGGCCATTCAAACGAACATACCTCGGTATCATCCTCGGCTGCCTCGATGCCTGGAGAGTAACAGTCCCGGGAAGAACCATCATTTGCCCGAAACGAAATCACGATGGATCCCCTTGCATTCCCGCTGCCAGCCAAGTACCAGCTTGTGTAGAACTGAGCCCGAGCCGGAGACCAATCCACCGGGGCTGTCCAAGTGATGCCGAGATCAAGCTCGCTGTGTGTGCCAGCAAAAGAGAGCCTGAGGAGGACACAAACACCCGACTTGGAGCAGGGCTGAGACTGAAAACACGACTGTCCGCGAAGTTGATGCCTGTTTCTTCGCTGAGATCTCCAGCCAAGTGCTTCGCCAAGCTCTCCTCCAGCTCCAGATAGACACTACTTGTAGTTGCAACCGGGCACTTGCCTACCAGCTTTGAGCCAAACATGCTGGAGAGTCTCCAGTCTTGCAGCTTTCGGAAAACAACCTGCTCCAATGTCGTGCCTTCTTCGTCCCGATCGAAGTCACCGGAAGTGATAAGCAGCCTCTGGGAATGGTACATACCACTGTAAATCGTCTGCCTGTCCAGGAGCGTCGTGAGCCCAGCCTTGTCTCTACATGGGAGAAGCGTGAGCCATGGCGTGAGCCGTGGCGTTCTACAGAGTGCTTCTCTCGGGAGTGCTCGCTCTTGCTCCATTTCTTTCCTTTCACCACCCTCTTCATGCCAGGAGCGTCGAAAGCTCCTCCTCCTCCTGTCCGGTTTGCCTCGGGCCTCGACGAGAACCAATTCGAGGAAGTTGATCGATGCGCAAAAGAGGCCCGAGAGAGCAGCTCGCCGCCAAGCCAGTGGGAGTGGAGCTCACGGCATTTCCAGAGGTGGACGTCGACGTCCAGCCAACGACGTGGGCTGCGCGATCGGATCGCCCACGCCCCAGCGCTCGTTGTTCCATCGCCCTTGCCATTTCTTTGATTCGAAACTTCCGGACCTGTTCCAAGCGATTCTTTCATCATCGTTTCGGGATTTGAGGACTTACGAGCTGGAAGATCGACAAAAGAAAGGGCAAAAGGAGGATAGGTTTCGATTTTACCTCTCAAAAGCTTGGAGTAAGAGTTCGCACCCTTGGAGGCATGGAGGGCAATGAGATCACTCTTCTGAAGGCCATGGGTGTTTGCACTGTGCTGGGAGATTCTCTCCAAGGGCAAGTAAATCTGTGCTTGAATTCTTTCTAGTAGTTGAGTTTATATGTATGGAAAGTGTGGGCTCATTGAGATGCATTTGATTGAGCAGGATGAAACACGATGATCAGTGTGTACGTGTTGCATGAGTGTGGTAAGCAAGCAATCCACCTCTATGCATACTTATGTCTAGAAGGGACAAAATGGGTTGATGTTTTGCCAGGTAGCAATTTTGTCTCTACCCAGGTTGTTCTTATTAGCATGTATATTGAGTGCAATAGTCTTGAAGTTCAAGTATCTTTTAGTGGAGTTTTGAGCCTTGGACAATTGTCATTTAGCACATATAGTTGGCATGGAAAGTTGCAATATACATTTGTGATAGAGCAAAATGCACTAGGAAGGCTTGAGATAAAAAAAATGTGATGAATGATGGGATAAAGTGAAAGTGATAGATCCAGAAAACAATTGAGAACTCACCAAGAAATCATAAAAGCTCATATATGAAAAAAGTTGATGCAACCTTGTGCACTGGTTCTAGCATAAAAAGTATGGAAGTAGAAATGTCGCATACACTTTGGGATTGCTTGCTGATCCTCTATCCCACCTCTTATTGGTTATGGACAAGATCAGGCTTTTTTCACATCAAAGCCTTCCTTTCTTAATAATGTTATGAAAGATCAGTAGTCCAGTGGTGCCTTGGTTCGAGCTATGCAAAAGAATATTTGTGATAGTTACTCATTTTATGCCCTAGATAGCAATTGAAAGTTCGTGGCATTTGGTGCGGTGACAACTGGGACGCTTCCAGATAGAACAGAAAGTGGTAGTTCTGCACCATCAAGCTCCTGCTGCTCTCACTAGCAATAATCAAGAGGCACGAGAGATTTAGTTCTCCTGTGGCAGATCAATGCGGGGGTGATCCTAGGGAACTGTAATCACCCCTTTGGCGCTTGTCAAAAGCCTCGACCACGCTCTGACAGTGAGGGTGGCGTCCTCCTTCGCATAAACCTTTCATGTAGACACCATGGAAGTCTGGCTAGTAAATATCCTTGATGCGTCTCAAGAATCGGGGTGATTTTTGGGTGCTAAAATCGGGAGGAGTATCAAGCTCGGGCAGGACGGCAGTCTCTCCGAGAAAAAGCGGGCTTGTTTAATTCCCCCAAACCCACCAGGCACATGGAGAACTTCGTCCACTTGAGCTGCCTGAGGACGGAATTGCCTGTTCGTGACAGGAATGGATGGTGAATGTGTCCAAGCACAGCCCTGAACCTGGAAAGCACACCGAAAGCTTACAAAGTCTACTTCTCTGGAAGTTCATACCTCTCAACCTTGGTCCCTGAAAACGTATCCCGCCGCCAGGGCGCCAAACACAAGGTCAGCGTCGAGAAAGCTACACTGCGAGGAGGAGGAGGAGCGACAGGAGGAGCGCCTGCGATCGATCATGTCTTGTCAATGGAATCAGACGAGACAAGAGAATCAGCTGCCAGGGCTGGAGCCGCCGCTGCGCCGATAGGCCAGGAAATGGATTATCACAGCTGCCGCAGTCTCCAGCTTGCCCACGTCAATCTGCGCAAGGCTGAGGTGCTCCAGCGTCGCGATGCCAGAGCATCCGCATTGATGATCGACGATGATTCAGTATTTGGTATTTACAAATATCGGGAAGAGAATCGAACCCGAAACGTTTGTTTTGGGAGACCGATGTCCTAAATGACTGGTCTAAGCTGTTTTTGTGAGCCGGCGAACCAGAATAATGGCTCCTTATTTAGCAAATTTTTTGCATAAAAGTCCTTGTTGAGTGGACCCTTCGGCATCGAACCCAGGTCTTCTACAACGGTTTACCTCTACACTTACCTGATAGCCATCATCTCGACAACCAGGTTCCCGTAATAAAAAAATCATACCATGTACTTGAACCATATGACAGGGGTCTTTGCGAAATCCATGGCGTTTTTGTTAGATCGCCCACCAGACGAGATTATCCCCCGCATTTGTGCTGCTCGGTGTTTCGTCCTTGGCAAAGCCCCCTCTTGGGTTGTGAATCGATCATTGTGGTAATGGATCGTCAAGAGTTATGGCCTGGGTTGCAATAGAAACTCGCTGAGCAATCTCCACAGCCGCAGGAGCTTTGCGATCTTCTGCTGGTGTGAATCTCATCAGTCCCAAAACTCCATGTTTCGGCAATCCAACGAAACCTGTAGCGTGTGGCCATTCAAACGAACATACCTCGGTATCATCCTCGGCTGCCTCGATGCCTGGAGAGTAACAGTCCCGGGAAGAACCATCATTTGCCCGAAACGAAATCACGATGGATCTGAAGAGAAGAAGAGCGGAAGCTACGATGGTGGATGACTCTCAGGATAATCGTATATATCAGAGCTATATATACATGATGAAGAGACACACCTCTAGCCTACACCTGGATAAGTGAAGTGGCACTCCTGCCACCTAGGATCATGTCATTGAGAGCGTATACCTCAACACTCCCTCTCGATCTCGATGACATGAATCTGAGATCACTCTCCCTCTGCATCCAAGCACTCTGTCGTATCCACGACAGAAATCTGTCTCTGCTCAGTGCCTCCTCTCAGCGCCTCTGCCAGCACCTTCTCACACCAGCGCCTCACTCAGCGCTCCAGTGGAGTCTCTGCTCGGCCAGCCCTCGGGGCCTCGTGCCTCTATGCCCGGCACTCACCTCTGGTGAGTCTCTGCAGGCCTTGCACGCCCTAGCGCCTCGGCCTCTGATCGCAGTCTCTCCTCTCTCAGCGCCTCTGCCAGCGCCTCTCTGCTCGTGCCTTGCACCACTCTCTTAGGGTCGCTATCTCACACCAGCACCTCACTCAGCGCTCCGGTGCCTCAAGCCAGCCCTCATCGTCTCAGCCTCGATCAAGCCTCCTTGGCCAGAGTCCTAACGGCTCTCTCCCTCTGCTACGGAGCCCTCTCACAGCCCAGCACTCGCTTGCCTCTGGACAGCACCTCTGTCCAGTCCACCAGCGCCCCAGCACTCCAATCCCTCGCACCTCTGCCTGCAGCCCGTGGTGTCTCGCGCCTCTACCCTACAGGGTGCCCAGCGCTCACCTCTGCTCGGCCAGTGCCTCGCGCCAGCCCTCTCTCAGCGCCTCTACCAGTGCCTCCAGGCCAGTCTCTGCTCGATCACACCCTAGCGCCTTGCTCAGCTTGCTAGTGCCGTTATCTTGGCGCTCAGTGCAGCACAGTGCCAAATCCTGGCACCTCTCAGCCACGTCCGGTGGCTCATCGTCATCCTCGCTAGCCTCCTCCTGGGCCAGCGCCATCGTCCCAGGATCTGAAGCCCTCAGGGCTCCGATACCATGAAGAGAAGAAGAGCGGAAGCTACGATGGTGGATGACTCTCAGGATAATCGTATATATCATAGCTATATATACAGGATGAAGAGACACACCTCTAGCCTACACCTGGATCAGTGAAGTGGCACTCCTGCCACCTAGGATCATGTCATTGAGAGCATATACCTCAACAGGATCCCCTTGCATTCCCGCTGCCAGCCAAGTACCAGCTTGTGTAGAACTGAGCCCGAGCCGGAGACCAATCCACCGGGGCTGTCCAAGTGATGCCGAGATCAAGCTCGCTGTGTGTGCCAGCAAAAGAGAGCCTGAGGAGGACGCGAACACCCGACTTGGAGCAGGGCTGAGACTGAAAACACGACTGTCCACGAAGTTGATGCCTGTTTCTTCGCTGAGATCTCCAGCCAAGTGCTTCGCCAAGCTCTCCTCCAGCTCCAGATAGACACTACTTGTAGTTGCAAGCGGGCTTGGCGGCGAGCTGCGCGATCGGATCGCCCACGCCCCAGCGCTCGTTGTTCCATCGCCCTTGCCATTTCTTTGATTCGAAACTTCCGGACCTGTTCCAAGCGATTCTTTCATCATTGTTTCGGGATTTGAGGAAGATCGACAAAAGAAAGGGCAAAAGGAGGATAGGGTTCGATTTTACCTCTCAAAAGCCTCGACCACTGAGAAACGTACTTGGAGTAAGAGTTCGCACCCTTGGAGGCATGGAGGGCAATGAGATCACTCTTCTGAAGGCCATGGGTGTTTGCACTGTGCTGGGAGATTCTCTCCAAGGGCAAGTAAATCTGTGCTTGAATTCTTTCTAGTAGTTGAGTTTATATGTTGAGATGCATTTGATTGAGCGGGATGAAACATGATGATCACTGTCTATGTGTCGCATGAGTGTGGTAAGCAAGCAATCCACCTCTATGCATACTTGTGTCTGGAAGGGTTCTTATTAGTTGAGCAATAGTCTTGAAGTGCAATTATGTTTTAGTGGAGTTTTAAGCCTTGGACGATTGTCATTTAGCACATATACTTGGCATGGAAAGTTGCAATATACATTTCTGATAGAGCAAAATGCAGGCCTAAGATAAAAAAAGATCACCTTCTCATGGCTTTAGATGCTTGTTTTTTTCTTGAAGTTCTTTGAACTGATAATCACATTTATAAGTTGTAGTCGGTTATGGGTTGGATTTTTCTCTTTAAGTGGAAAATTTATGGAAACTGCAGGGATGCATACAATGTGTTTGACAGCATGTGCTATAAAATAAAGGTGATCATTTGAATTGTCATAGTTACTGGACATGCTCAATGTGAACATTATTTACAGCAAGGTGAAGGAAAATAAAAGAATGAATTGCATAGTCTATGCAAAAATTTCATAATGAATTGATTCAAGTCTTTTAACCACAAAAGAGATCAGAACCTCTTGGTAAAATTGATAGTAGCCTGAAAAGATATTACTAATGTAGCGCACCTTATCTCTCTCCCCTTAAGCCAACTGGAAAAAGGGCAATTGCTTTATGAGAGAGCCCTTAGTGGTTATTTTATCCCCATTTATCCCCCAAGGTTCCAAGGATCCATGGTGACAGTATATTTAAATCTCATCCCATGATCACATGCGCTACAACTAAATAATAAGAAAATTTATTATAACTAGGAATGCCCTTAGTGAAGTTGGGAATTTTGCTTACCATTCTCATATATTTAAAACCAAAGAGCCCATTAGCAAATAAGTTTTGAATTTTCTTACAATGCCCTAACACTAAATGCAATGTGATTGTAGCCCTCTTAACACACACATTTTTTCTATTTTTGCAAAGTGATTCTATTTCTTTTTCATATATGGGGTAATTTATCTTTTAACTATTGGGCAGGAATATTGCACACTTTTGTGGCTTTTACATTTTAATATGTTAGGATGTATTATAAAGATTTATTAAATTTAGCATCAAATAGAACAAATAACAATTCTCATTGTACCACCCTCTAGAGACTAGGTAGTTGTAAGTAATCAAAGATAACAGAATTACATTATATATTGAGAATTACATGACAGAGAATTACATCATATGTTGAGAATTACATGACAGAGAATTACACTACATGTTAAAATTGACATTTAGTAAATTTAATTTTCTTTCAATTAAGTTCAACATAAATGGTAGGGTGTCAAAAGAGCAAAGCTCTTGGGAAAGTTGTGGCTTTCAACTTCCATTTACGAGCATGAACTTGTAAGGAAGTATAGTAAATTATAAGTAATTAAAAAGAACGAATTGAGAGACAATCTATAATTCAAATATAGAGGGAAATAACAAAAGTACACCCTTTTTTCCAATTAGTTTGGGATACTTAGGGGGTTAAAACGTCTTAGGTTTGAGTATTGGGATATTTGGGGGTTAAGTCTCCTTATGTTTGAGTAATACTAGGCTCGGTGGCCTCTCAAAAAATCTAAATTCAAGAAATGGTATATTTCTCACTCATCTATATAGCATGATTTTAAATTTAGTTCTCTTAAATATATTGAGCATAACAATTTTAGATCTGATTCTCTTAAATACATTGACCATGACACAATTGAGAAATGAGACTATGGTTATTTCCTCCTACTACATTAGCACAAAATTATTTTTCTTTTTATAAAGCTTTGTGATTTTTTTTCAATTTATCAATACTCTAGATTTTAGATGTGATTCTGAGGATAAGGAGAAAGCCATCCTTTGAGGGAGGACAAAAAGTTAGCAGGTCTTTATATTAAATATCTATAAATCCATTTAGTAAATTCTTATGAAATATGATTGTCTAACAATCTTTTTATTTATAATTTCTAATATATGAGAGATATTGTAATTTGAATTTCTATAATAAATCCACTAAAAACTATTAGTGAAATATAACTTTATATAAACTCCTGAGTTTAAGCTCTATTTCGTTAAAGTGGGATTTATTCAGTAAAATGGGACTAGGTACAAATTTTCAAGTATTTGAAAATGACATGAAATTATATGTTTTTTGTCCAGGGGCTAGACATATCTGGGGCATGGTGACTAGCGCAGTGAGTTTGTGTCCAGACTAAGTCCATCTGGTTGTATAATAAATCTCATTGTCAAGGTGAACAAGCCGAATCTGAAGCTAAAGAAGAGCGATGGCATGCGCGCACACACTATTTGTTTGTTCATTGAGCGTGTGGTGAGCTTTCCAAGATGAACGTCATTCCTATTAGCCAAACATATAACTTAATGGTGAGAACATTTAGATATTATTCAATGTTATCTTTTTCTAACGAATCTAATTGTGAAGGTGTAGCAAGAGGCATTGCTAGTCTGGAGAAGTCATTTAACTCATTTGACCCTTAGTGTATTTTCATGAAACTAAATAACATTCATATTATTAAGGAATTTCTCTAGTACCTTTTTTTTACGACATAGAAGCTTGCATTTCTTTCAAAGGTGATTTAGTAAAAGGCCTGAGGGCACATGCCATTCTATTTCTCAGACCGGTATTAAGATATACTAGTGCAAAGGGAAAAAGGTATTTGGTGATCAAGTAAATGGTATGAGGGCACACGCCATTATAAGCTTAAACGCTAGTGGACACCTCCTTTTTGGTACTCTCAGTGGTACTATCATCCTTCTCCGGGTCAGTTGTTTTGCTTTGGATTGTTGTCTCTGACGTTACTGGGGCGTTCTCGATAGTTGTTAATGTTGCCGTTTGTTCAGAAAAATAATCACTTGGAGTATAGTACGGGGAGTTTGGAAGACTTATATATTTTACATCTTCACCTATCTCCTTCTCCGTCTCCTTTTCTGCCTCACTTACAGATTTTGTGCTTGCCATGAGAACGCTCTTCACCCTAAAATATGGAGTTCGTTGTGTTATAAAAGGAAACCAACACACACGCTGCAAGGGAATGATGGTACATAAAGCACGTAAGCCCACAATATGGGTTTATGTGCCATTAATATGGGCCACACGCCATATTATTAGATTTATGCACGTGTGATTGGTAAATGCATATGTCACATCATCTTTGTTTTACCTCACACACTATATCAGGCCTAATGAACCATATCACATGTGCGCACATGCTATATATATGGAGAAGTATTATGCAAGGATAGAAATTCAATGCATGATTGTGGAGAGCAATGGCATGAAGCCACATGCTAAATAACATTTTAGAGAAAGAATTAAAATAGAAACATGCAAACAGTACTGAGTGGACCAAGACTTAGAAGTGCACAATTGAATGAGGTATTTCTAATAAATATTTCACTCACCTCATATAGGAATGGCTACCACTCTCAAATGGCGTATCGCCTCATGCCATCACCTCGCAATTTGTTATAACAATCCGATGAATTCATATTCGGCTTGTTCACCTTGAACTTTAAGTAAGATTTGCTAGAACAACTAAGAATTTATACTTGTTATTTGTATCATCTCACCGTAAGGCCACATGCCATCACGCCTCCTCTGATTCAGATTCGGATTGTTCACCTTGAAATAAAATACATTAGAAACTTAGTAAAGGAATATTAATGAATCTCACCTTGAACCCGGGTTATGAATGCTCTTGCTGCATCTCTTGCATGGTCTGGCAAGGTGATGGTGGCACTCTGCTTCCGCATCCAACCATGCACAACATTATCCACCGATATGCTCATGCTGGGATCCCTTGGATTCAGCACCCATCTCTTTTCTAGGCAATCCTTCGTATATCCGGAACTTGGCTTGAACCACTCCACAGTTACATTGAAGGAGTTAGTTTCTGCGTCCTCCTCTGCATCAGTGATGCAACGCCCCACCCATATCATTTGTTTTTTATTACTGGGTCTAACAAGCACGACCATTCCTTTGCAGACCTGTACTGGATTGAATGCTGAATCCGGCTTCTTGTTCCTCGGCCCACAATAGTGATCCTCAACATCGTTATCTGTCACTGCATTTCTAGAGGACATTGTTTTGCTACTATCTGGTGCTCTGGGTTCTGGCCAAAAGGACTCTTCCAATTCTTCATATACAACCGGCCCATTTTGGATAGCAGATATAATCTTCTCCCAGTATTCGAGCAAAGGCTTGCACCTCTGAAAATAGGATTCTCCACCAAACACCAACCCCCTCTTCCAGAAGGCAATATGCTGTCTAATCCCGGCCACTATACTTTCCTGGTCTTTGAGTCCATCCGGGTGCATCGGCCGTGGGGAACCCTGAGGAATCATAGGTTCCCCAGTTATGGGATCTCTCTTGAAGAGTTTAATGCCGTCCACTGGCAGCCACACTGTGTCCCATTCTCTCATCTTGTACCTCATCACTGGAGCACCGTCACGCATGCTGAAATGAAACTGAAGAGGCTTGGAGTGGCCAATCAGCGTTTTGGATCCGTCCCTGATGTAGCCTCTTACAAACCCCTTAAAGTCTGGAACCTCTGTCACAAGTGCAGCTTCAACAGTGCCTTTGATGCAATTTTGGAATTCATCGTAGAGTTGTGGGAGGGTGAGGACATTGGATCGCCGGAGGGACTCTGCCAGGTGACTGAACATGGCATCGACGTCTTCATGAGTGT